CCAACCCTCTTCCCTTAGGTTGTCCCTCCCTTTCTGAGTTGCCAGAATACTTTGACTCCTATGTATTTTCTTTCATTTATTGATTTTTTTTTTTTTTCTTCTTACAACCCTGCGCCACTAGCTGTGTCTGAAGTAGACATAGAATTGGGAAATTTCATTGATAGGCCTTTTTCTTACCTAATTTGCTTGTTTTAGGTTGCATTGTTTTCATCAGATTTTGCATGACATTTTGGAATTTACTTGTATTGTTTAAATGAAACAGCAAAATGTAGTGAAATAAATATGGGCTTCAGAGTTTGATAACTAAGTTTAAAGCCCTGTTCCTACATTGAACTGTCTGTGAAACCTTGAGCAACTCACTTAGGTTTTCTGCGAATGAAAGTAATGTCATCTACTTTATAGGATTATTCTAAGGATTAAATAAGTTTGATAATGTATATGAAGTACTCAAGTAGTGTAGTGTGTAGAACTTGTTGAAGCTAATTTTCCTTCCTTTTGTTTGGACATTTTTTAATTAATGCATTTTGAGGAGTATATGAAAAAGTTCACTTTTACATACTCAGAAAATATTTTTGTTCCAAATATAGGTAACACCGTGATTCACTTAGATCAAGCATTAGCCAGAATGAGGGAATATGAGCGCATGAAGACTGAGGCTGAAAGTAACTCAAATATGAGATGCACCTGCAGGATTATTGAGGATGAAGATGGTGCTGATGCAAGTACTACAGTTAATAATTTAGAAGGTATATATTTTTGTTTTCAGTAGGTTTTGGGGGGAACAGGTGGTGTTTGGTTACATGAATAAGTTCTTTAGTGGTGATTTCTGAGATTTTGGTGCACCCATCACCTGAGCAGTATACACTGTAACCAGTGTGTAGTCTTTTATCCCTCATCCGCTTCCCACCCTTTTCCCTGAAACCCCAAAGTCCATTGTATCCTGCTTATGCCTTTGCATCCTCATACCTGAGCTACCACTTATGAGTAAGCATGTGCAATGTTTGCTTTTCCATTCCTGAGTTACATCGCTTAGATTAATGGTCTCCAACTCTATCCAGATAGCTGCGAATGCCATTACTTTGTTCCTTTTTATGGTTAAGTAGTATGCTGTGGTGTATAAATAAATATATGTATATATCTACACATACATACATATACCAAATTTTCTTTATCCACTCGTTGATTGATGGGCATTTGAGCTGGTTCCATATTTTGCAACTGCAGATTGTGCTGCTATAAACATGCTCATGCAAGTATCTTTTTCATATAATGACTTCTTCTCAGCAGATACCTAGTAGTAGGATTGCTGGATCAAATGGTAGATCTTCATACTGTTTTCCATAGTGGTTGTACTAGTTGACATGCCCACCAGCACTGTCAAAGTGTTCCCTTGTTACCACGTCCACACTAAACGTCTCTTACTTTTTTATTTTTAAATTATGGCCATTCTTGCAGGAGTAGTATGGTATCACATTGTAGTTTGTGCTTTGATTTTCATTTCCCTGATAATTAGTGATTTTGAGCATTTTTTCATATGTTTGATGGCCATTTCTATATCTTCTTTTGAGAATAGTCTATATCCTTAGCCTACTATTACTACTAGTACTATTTTTTTTTTTTTAATCTGAGCACAGTCTTGCTTTGTTGTCCAGGCTAGAGTGCAGTCGCACAACCTCAACTCACTGCATCTTCTGCCTGCCAGGCTCAACCGTGCCTCAGCCTCCCAAGTAGCAGGGATTATAGGCATGTGCCACCAAGCCCAGCTAAGTTTTGTATTTTTTAGTAGAGATGGGATTTCAGCATATTGTCCAGGCTGGTCTTGAACGCCTGGTCTCAAGTGGTCCGCCCACCTCGGCCTCCCAATGTGCTGGGATTACAGCTGTGAGCCACCACACCTGGCCTTAGCCCCCTTTTTGATGGGATTTTTTTTTTTTTTTTTTTTTTTTTTTGCTGATTTGAGTTCTTTGTAGATTCTGGGTATTAGTCCTTTGTCAGATGCATAGTTTACAAAGACTTTCTCACACTTTGTGGGTTGTCTGTTTACTCAGATGATTATTTCTTTTGCTGTGCAGAAACTTTTTAATTTAAGTTCCATCTGTTTATCTTTGTTTTTATTGCATTTGCTTTTGGGTTCTTGGTCATGACGTCTTTGCCTAAGTCAGTGTCTAGAAGGATTTTTCCGGTGTTATCTTCTAGAATTTTTGTGATTTCAGTTATTCGATTTAGAAGGTATATGTTTTATTGATTAGAAGTACTAATTCTGTATAAAAATTTTAAATATGTGATATAGTCGTTTTCTTACTACTTTAATTGATAGGGGTGCTAAAAGTACAAACATGTTTCTTTGTATTAGCATAAAATCAGAATTTAATATTCTTTAAATTTCAACATTAAGGCATATATATATATATAATAGGCTTTTTTATGCTAATGTATCGTTTTCTTTTTAAAAATTAGAAACTCCCATTATTGAAAATCATAGTTCACAACAACCTGTAAGTGAAGTTTCTACCGTCCCATGTCCTAGAATTGATACTCAGCAGCTGGACCGGCAAATTAAAGCAATTATGAAAGAAGTCATTCCCTTTTTGAAGGTAAGCAGTTATTTTAAAAAATAAACAAAACTTTGTGTTTTGTTTTTTAATTCGTACAAAAGACCTTATTGTGATAAAGTTCAATGGTATAGGTAAACAAAAGAAAAAAAAACTATCACCCATAATTTTTTTACCCTACCAACATTTTGCTTGCCGTACCAACATTCTGTAAACCTTTCAGTAATATTTTGTACACATGTGCATATTCTGCTTTTTTCATTTACTGTACCGTAAACTTCTTTCTAGATCAT